GCCCAACATTGCAATATGGATGAGCCTTTGCTCTAGCTTATCGTAACTGCAGTGCACAATCGATATTTAAATCCTGAAAGATCAGCAATAATGGATGCAAACTGAACAGATCAATATTTAGCCTTTTGTGGACTATAACTTTTATCTTAGCCCCAATTACTCCATGGCACAGGGGTTGATTTTTAATGTCTTGGGTGTTTGGAATCTCACTAAGTTTAATTTTAAAAGTTACAAAGCACTTTGTAAGACACCTAGAGAGGTGTTGATAAAAATTATTCTAAAAATATGCTTAAATAGGTTTACTGTATTTTCAAGATCATTTTGCAATAATGAATTTCAATTGCGACGTGTGTGTGTGTGTGTGTGTGTGTGTGTATGTTTAATTTACAGGGGATCAGATAATTTTAAAATTCATGAAAAGATATTTCCTTGTAATGTCTTTGGCAATATTGCATGACCACTTGAGAGACATTTGCCCAGTTTATCTTTTTAGGATAAAAACTAATTACAAATTGAATCAAATGTTAGCATTAAGATATTGTTTAATTATTCAGGTATCACAGCATAACTAATCAATTATGATAATTTGTCTCCGAACTTCTCTAAAGAGTTTTAAGTAATCAAGATTCTAGGAAAAATATCATACTTTCTTTATAAATAGCAATTTCAATTTATCACTCTTTGAGACGATAACTACTCACAAGTGTGAGCTCTGTTCCCTAAAGCCCAAACCCCATCTAATGCTAACAAAAAACAAAACAAAACAAAACAAAATTCTACCTTTAGTGACTAAGTAAACTAGAACATTTAGTATGGAGAAGTACAAAGTAATAGCCTTTTTTGTAGGACTTCTATTTTTAGAGAGAGAGAGGGTGTGTGTGTGTTGTCTCAGAATTGAAAAGGGAGAAGTAAGACTTCCAATTATAGTAAGCATACTGCAGTTGATTACTTAAAATTAACAAAATACAAAAAGCAACTGCTTGAGGAATCTGACAAGTAAATAAGAACAGGAAAATTGGGAAGGACATTAAAACTTGACTAAAAGCTACTCCGGTCATGTTGTATTTCATGTTTTTGTTTCTTCTTAATCTCCCCACTGTGAGACAAATTAAACTGTATGATGGATACCATAATCAAAATCTCTTGTAATCCCTCCTTCTGGCCAGAAGGCCGGGAAAAAAGCCACCTGCAAGCTCAAGAGAGTAGGGATAATTCTTCGTTTCCCCCCTTTTATAATTCTCCTGCTCCAAAGCCAGCCCCAATGCAGAGCTACAATACCACATTTCAGAAGTGGCACAAATACCTAGAGATTAAGAAAAACACCCATAACTCTGGATTCACAAAGAGTGTAGAGGGGTATCATTAAAAAAACAATGTAGAAGAATTCCCAATATATATATAAATTTTTATCTCTTCTCTCTTTACTTTGCCCCAAGTACAGGCCCAGATGCACGGACCTGTACAAAAACTTGGGAGGCCAAACAATTGAGAGAATCCCGTCTTTCTGTCTAGTGGCACCAAAACAAAAACAAAACCAAAAACAAAACAAAACCAAAAAATAGTCCATACAAGCTGCAGAGTGTCAGAGAAATCCCACAGAGGAATAAGTTGGAGACCCCCTATTTGCATGTGAAACAATGCAAGTCCTGAGCTCGGCCCCAAGTGTCCTCGTGCAGAATGTACCTAAGAAGCATAGCCAAGGGTTTGAAAAGGGAACTACTATATAAACCACTGCTACAATATAAACCACTGCTACTGCTCAGGTAACAGGCAGACTTAAAGAAAACAGTAAACACTATGAATATTAAATTTACATTAGATCACCTGCAGAAGGCAGTCTGACTTGCATTCTATACATGAATTGACTGCTTGCTAAAAGAAACAAAAATCAGCATTATCAACTGGATTTTAGGAAGACCTGGTTTATAACAGTTTCCAAATGTCCAGACACTATCCAAAGTTACCCAAAACATCAGGACCCAGGACAGTTTGACCAAGAACCAGGAAAATCTGACAAATTATCAAGGGAAAAGAAAATCAACAGAGGAAAACCCTGAGATGACACAGATGTAGGAATTACCACACAACAATCTAAAGAAGTTATTATCAAGCTTTATGAGGTAAACATGAACACTCTTGAAATATGTGGGGAGAAATAGAAACTATAAAACAAAAGTGAATAGAAATATTAGAACAGAAAATAAACCAATATCTGAATATCTGGATAGGCTCAAAGTAGAATGGAGATGACAGAGGAAAGAGATAGTAAAATTGAGATAGAACAATAGAAATTGACCGGGTCTGAACAAAATAGAAAAAAAAAAAAGATGGACTACAAAATAAACAGAGCCTTCGTGACCTGTGGAATAATATTTAAATATTTCATATTTTTATCATTAGTGTTCTTAAAAGAGGAAAAAGTAACTGCTGCACAAAACATATTTGAAGAAACAGTAGTTATAAGCATCCTAAATTTGGTGAAAGGCATACATTCACAGATTCAAGAAGTTCAGTAAACTCCAAATCCATAACATAGCATCTGTACATAGAGAGCTCCAAAATATAAGAAATACTAAAAGTTGATTTTAAAAAGGAGAAATATGAAAGTCCACAATTACACTAGATTTCAATACTCCTTTCTCTATAATTGATAAAGCAGTAAGACAGAACATTAACAAAGATATAAAAAATATCTTAAAAAATATCTAACAATACCATCAACTAACTAAAAACAGGGTTTGGCAAATTATGGTTTACCAATCAGATCTGGACTGCCACATTTTTTGGTATGGCCCGGGAGCTAAACATGGATTTTACACTTTAAAATGGTTGCATTATAAATGGTTACATAATTATCTACATAGTCTCTTCAATTTTGCTTCTCAGTCTGCAAAGTCTAAAATATGTACTACTTTTCACTTTAATAGGTTGCCAATCTCTGAACTAGAAAGTGACATTTATAGAACACTCAACAACTGCAGACCAGATAGTCTCCCAAGTATTCATGAAATATTCACTAAGACCATGTTGTAGGCTATAAACCAAATCATAAAATATCTAAAAGAATGGAAAGCATACAAAGTATGTTCTCTGATAATATCAGGATTAACATATAAATCTATATCAGAAAGATATCTTGAAAATCCCCAAGCAGGTTGAAATTGAACAGCACACTTCTATATAACTAATGGTTATAAGAGTATGTTACAAAGAAAAATAAAAACATTTTAATTGAATTACTGTACATCAAAATTTGTGGAATGCAGCTAAAGCAGTGCTGAGAGGGAAATTGATAGCAGTAAATGTTTGTATTAAAAATAATAAAGGTCTCAGATAATCAGAGCTTCTACCTTGAGAAATGGGAAAAATAATAGCAAATTAAGTAAAAAGCAAGTAAAATGAATGAAAAAAATAAGTATAAGAACAAAAACAATGATGTAAAGATAAGACAGAATCAATAGAAACACAAGATAATTCTTAGAAAATATCAAGAAAATGTATAATCTACCACTTAGAATGACAAGAAGAGAGAAGATTAACATTAAGAATAACATCAATAAAAGAGGGTATCACTACAGATGCTAAATCGTGAATATAGGAATGAAACAAATAAATCTACAAATCATTGTTGGAAGAAATTAAAGATCTAAATATTTGTGGGACGCTTCAGTGGCTCAGTCAGTTAAGTGTTTGACTCTTGATTTTGGCTGAGGTCATGATCGTGGGGTCATGGGACCAAGCCCTAAGTCAGGCCTGTGCTGAGCATGGAGCCTGCTTGAGATTCTCTTTCTCCCTCTCCTTTTGTCCCTTCCCTCCCTGCTCAAGGGCTCTTGCTCTCTCTCTTAAAAAAAAAAAAATCTAAATATTTGCAAAATACTTATTTTGCAAATTTTTCAAAAATTATACATTCATGGATCAGAATGCTTAATTTTTTTTAAGTTAATGGTCTTTTTTTATTAAAAAAAAAAGCTAACATTTACAACTTGGAATGGACGTAAATTGTAATTTCTTGATCAGCAATGTTGATGCTTGTGCTGAAGTCCACAGCCACAACCTACTCAAAAACAGAGAGTCCCAAGATACTCCCTGGGTAAAGGTTTCTTTAAAAAAAAATTGGGGCGCCTGGGTGGCTCAGTTGGTTAAGCGACTGCCTTTGGCTCAGGTCATGATCCTGGAGTCCCTGGATCGAGTCCCACATCGGGCTCCCTGCTCGGCAGGGAGTCTGCTTCTCTCTCTGACCCTCCCCCCTCTCATGTGCTCTCTCTCTCTCTCATTCTCTCTCTCTCAAATAAATAAATAAAAATCTTTAAAAAAAATTGTGTGAATGGTGACAGCCTGACACCCATTTCACTCTAGGACAACATGGGACAACGCTAAACCAACACACACGGCATGCCACCGGATGAGTGTCATGGTCCCCATGGGTGGGAGTGCCCAGAAGTATGACAGGGCTGTCCTGCTAAGTGGGGCTACTTCTAGACAGTTTATCCTTCACCCATTTTTCTGCACAGCATCCTGAGGTAAACCAATTTTAAATGTTTTGTTTTCAGTAAACCAGCTATGACAATTTATACTAACAAATTGAACTAGAACCCATCTGAAGAAGTTTTAAATTTATTTTATTTCATTTTTCATTTTTAATACAAATGCCTGACTGTGCTCAATTGTCAAGCTGCATGCATGAAAAACTGGCCAGCCCAAACAGTGTATTAATCATTAGCAAATGGAACTGCAAGGAGTCCATTAGGTGCTTCCTTATCATTAAGGTAGTACAAGTATTTATATCATAAAACTGATGTGTAGCTTGATCTTTAGGGGAAAGGACCACCAACCAATACATGCAGATTTTGTGTGTGTGGACAGAAGGTACTTTTGACATTCAGTTTTGCTATAAAGAAACAGAATGAGTAAATGAACTTTTTTTTTTTTTTTTGCAAGAGGTAAGTAAAAGATTCAATTTGATTCTTCTAGAAGGGGGGAATGGAGTTTAAAGTAGGAATTCATTTTGGAATCATCATCTGTACGAATTCTTCATAGTTGACTTGTCCATCTCCATCAATATCTGCTTCTCTGATCATTTCATCTACTTCTTCATCTGTTAGTTTTTCTCCTAATTTGGTCATGACATGACGTAGCTCCGCCACACTGATGTAACCTTTGCCATCCTTGTCAAAGACTCGGAATGCCTCGTGAATTTCTTCTTCACTGTCTGTATCTTTCATTTTTCTAGCCATCATAGTCAAAAATTGTGGGAAGTCTACAGTGCCATTTCCGTCAGCATCCACCTCATTGATCATGGCCTGCAATTCGGCTTCTGTTGGGTTCTGACCCAGTGACCTCATGACAGTTCCAAATTCCTTTGTTGTGATGGTGCCATCAGCATCTTTGTCAAATAGGGAGAAAGCTTCCCTGAACTCAGCAATCTGTTCTTCGGTCAGCTGAGCAGTCCTGGTGCGAGCCAAGGGAAGAGCAGAGGGAGCAAGTGTGGCTGCACCAGCGCAGAGGGTGTGAGGGCAGCGGCCGCGGCTGCTAAGGCGCGATGAGCGCTCAGCGCTGTGCGGCCGTCGCTGCCCGACTGTGAGTAACGGTGCCGCGCCCGCGAGGCTCCCAACACCACTGCCCAGAATGCTTAATTTTTAAGGTGGAAATGCTACTCAAATTGATCTCCAGACTCAATATAAACACTACCAAAATCCCAAATGTCTTCATAGAAACTGGCAAGATAAAAGTCTTATCGAAAATCGTGCGACGCAGAAGAGCCAACATTTTAAAAAAGAACAAAGTTGGACGTTTCACACTTCTCGATTTTAAAAATTTGGTATGAAGTTATGTAATAAAAACAACATGGTAGTGACATAGGGTAGACATATAGATCGATGTAAGAGAATCAAGAGCCAGAAATAAACCTTCACATTTATGGTAAATTGATTTTGACAAGTGTGCCGAGACAATTTAATGGGGAAAGAAAAGTGTTTTCAAAAACCATGTTGGGAAAATTGGAATTCCACATGCAAAAAAATAAAGTTGAAATCCTTACAACATACACAGCAATTAACTCAAAATGGAATGTAGATTTAAATTTAAGACTTAAAACTATAAAAGGGAAGAGAAACAAAAACAAAATTAAACTATTGGGACTACACCAAAATTAAAAGCTTTTACACAGCAAAGGGAACCGTCAACAACACAAAAAGGCAACCTACTGACTGGGAGAAGATATTTGCAAATAATATATCTGATAAAGGATTAACATCCAAAGTATATAAAGAACTTACTCAATTTAATATAAAAAAACCCAACAACCAAACAACTTATGTGTGGAATTTAAGGAGCAAAACAAAGAAAAAAAAAAGAAACAAACAAAAAAACAGATACTCAAATATAGAGAACAAACTGGTGGTTGCCAGAGGACACATGGTGGGGGAATGGGTGAAATAGCAAAGGAGACTAAGATAAAATTAAAATAAAATGAAATAAAATGAAAAGACAATCCATATAATGGAAGAAAAGTTTTGTGAATTATGTAGCTGATGAGACCTGTGGCTGGAATATAAAAAGAACTCTTATAAATAAATAATAAAAAGATAAATAGCCCATTTTTAAAAAATGGGACAAAGATGTGAATCTATATTTATCTAAAAAAGATCTACAAATGACTAAAAAGTACACTAGAGATGTTTTACAAGATTAGCTCTAGAGAAATGTAAATCAACACCACAATGAGATACCATTTCACAGCCACTAGGATGGTTATAATAAAAATACTCAGATGTGACTGTAAAGCAGGGCAGCTGCTTTGGAAAACAGTTTGACAGTTGCTCAAAATTTTAAAAATAGAGTTCACCATTGGGCGATAACAATATTTTAAAGTTTACTGAGTTGATGTTTGCATAACTCTACAAATACACTGGACACCAGTGAATTGTACACCCTAGATGCATGATTTGTATAAGTGAATTATATATTAATAATGCCTTTACATAAAAACAAAACAAAAACCTATACATAGTGTCTGTAGCAGCTTCATTTGTAGTCACTAAACACTGAAACAACCCAAATATCCCTGAACCAGGAAATGTATAAACAAACAAAAATAAACAAAAGAAAAAGGAAAAGAAACTACTGATACATGCAACCCTATGGATGAATCTCAGATGTACTATCCTACATGATAGAAGCGTCTCAAGAGTCAGTACACTGTATGATTCCATTAATATGACATTTTGGAAAAGGCAAAGCTATAGCGATGGAGCATAGATTAGCGGCTACATGGGTAATAAATCCTGGGAGGTTTGACTGCAAAGGATAGCATGAAGGGCTTTTGGGGGTGATGGAACTCCTCTGTGTAGTGATTTTGCTGGTGATTACACGATTCTACACAGGTCAAAAATTTTAGACTCCCAAAAGTGTTTATTTCATTTTCAATAAATCTAATAATGATGCAATTTAAACAAACAAACATGGCAAATTTTCCCTGTGCTTTATTTGTGCCAGGCAAGCATTCTTTTAGGGTCTTTAATGTTGCTAGTCCTAGCAATGGCAGCACGGAGTTAGACACTATTATTTTCACATTCATGTAACAAATGAGAAACTAAAGGTTTGGGAGCTTGAGAAACTTAATCAAAGCCACAAAACTAATACCTTGGAGCAGGGGATTTGAACCCAAAAATATGATATTAGGTCTTAGTCCATTTGTACTGTTATAACCAAATACCAGAGACCAGGGGGCTTGTAAACAACTGGCATTAATTTCTCACTCTTCTGGGGACTGGGAAGTCCAAGATCAAGGTGCCTTTGGACTCAATGTCTGGTAAGACCAGCTTCCTCAATGATAGCCATCTTTTTGCTCTCATCTCACCTGGCTGAACAGACAAGGGACCGTTCTTGGACCACTTTTCTAAGGGCCCAATTCCATTCATGAGGATTACACCCTCATGACCTAATCACCCCCCAAAGGCTCCACCTCCAAACACCATCACATTGGAGGTTAGGATTCCAGCGTACTTATTTTGAAGGAACATAGACATACAAATCATAGCACACTAGGAACCAGATCTTAATCTTTATACATAACGCTTTTCCATACATTGTGTTTTTTCATATGTTCAGAAAAAAAAAAAAGCCTGTAAAGGAAGTGGGTTAGGATAATCACTGCTCCATGCTTGGGAACTACAAAATCAACAAAATTTGTACTTTAAATTTTTTTTTTTACTTTAACTTTTATTGAAGTTCAACATGTTTCAGAAAAATGAACAATTTATAAGTATATAGCTCAACGGATTTTCAACAGCCCCCAAACACTTGCATAACCAGCATTCAGATCAAAAAACAGAACATTCAAGGTCCCTTTACTCCACCTACCCCTAGAAGTCCCTCATGCCCCTTCTGGCTACTACCCTTCCATAAATCCTGACTTCTAAGATCATAGATTAGCTCTGCCTGTTCTTGAACTTCATATAAATGGAATTATACAGTGTGTGCCCATTTGTGCTGGCTTCTTTTGCTTGACATAATGTTGTTGTGCATATCAGTCATTCTTATTGTTATGTAGTATTCCATTATGTGACTATAACATACTTTATCATTTTGTTGATGGGCATTTGGGTGGTTTCCAGGTTTGGGGCTGTTGTGAACAGTCTTGTCATAAGAATTTGTGCACTTGCCCTTGGATGAACATATGAATGCATTTACGTTGGTATGTTCCTGGGAGTGGAACTGCTGAATCATAAAATCTTTAGTTTTTTTTACATAAAATTTATAGTTTGACAAGTCATTTGAAGACCCCTGAAAAGGATCAAGGGACCTGTGTCTGAATGCATCTCTGTCCAACAAGCTGACACAAATATTCAGTGAAGAATAAACATTTGTTGATGTGGTGCTAAGGTCATAAGTAAGTTCTACCTCTTTCTGATCTTGTATCATGGTATGAATTTTGGGGACAGATTCTAGCTCATGTGTTGGGATACACTCTACATTGTTTGTGAATATTTTTAAGGTTACCTCCCTAAACCCTCCAGAATTTTTTTCCTAATTCAGAATTATTTCTCATAATCTATATAGTCAAAAGTTTTCCAAAATAATTAAACTAGCACATATACTAGCTTTTTATTCCAGATGTTTTGACAAATGCAAATCACTACAGTTGCATTAATTACACAGTTATCTTTAATTATTAAATAATACAAATCACTGTATCAAACTATATCCTCATGTTGGCTCAAGGGTAGTGAAATTTAAGTTTCTGAAACTAAACTTGATGTCTTCAATCATTCACAATAAAATGTACCTGCTTCCTTCTTTTCGGCCAAATTGAGTATTATTTATTTTAACTGTTTATTTACCTGAACTCCTTGATTCCAGGATAATTTAGCCTTTAAGCTGAGTAGACATTTATTATATTTTAATCTGACAAAAGAATTCAGAACATTTCAGCATCTTAACCAAAGGTGGGGAGAGAACAATTAAAAAGAAAACTTCAGAATTGATTTTCACAAGAGAAGTTTCCGATCTCTGTTATTTACCATCCCACATTTTTAGTCTAATCTAATCCTGATAAAAAGCTATATCAATTTCACATTTTTAGGGATGAACTATACCAAAATCAAACACATGTTCATGGGAAAGTCTAATGCTTGTTTTCTTCCTTCAGATAAAGTCATTCAGATTTTGTCAGTAATCTCTTTTTCATCTTTGGGTTTACATTCCATCTTTAATTGATTTCAACAAGCTTCTTTATGTGCCAATCAATAACAGGACATTGACATGTAGAGGGAAGTTCAGTAACCACTGGCCTTTTTTGAATATGAGGGATGATGCTTTTTTTAGGGGATAAATTAAAACATTATCAGTGAATAATTTTGTATTTCTCATCACTTTATGGCATATAATATTATAGTATTATAGTCAAATGATTTATCAACAACAAAAATGCTCTAAAATATATTCTTGAATAATTATTATTTATTTAATGCTAATTAGTTGAGCAGTCAATGCGCCCTCTTCAATCATCTGTCATACTACAGATCTTTTAAAATTAACGCTCACTTTCCAATGTTCTAGTAATTTAACCATTGAACCAACCCATACATTCTATTATTTGCCAAAACAACTTACTCTTACTATCCAATGAGAGAAGAGTGTGCTTCATTTATAAAACTTACCACTGAATTTCATTGATCATAATTATGTTGTAACTACAAAATCCAACATTATTTTTAACTTTTCTACATTTATTCATGATCCTTTGCAATTTCTTAAGCAATATAACAATGAAATATAACATTTATCCTATGGGAAATCAATCTTTAATTTTCTTTTAACATATACACCTAGTTCATTAAAATAAGAGATATTTGGACTATCAAATTTGAGGGCATCTTTATGACAACATAATATAATTGTCTCTTTTATGTTTACTAAAACTATGTGGTATCCATTCACAGGACTTAGTACATTCTTTTTTCTTGTTCCTTAACTTATCTAAACTTTATTATCACCTCATTTTATCTTGTGTTTACTCCATAAGCTACCCGTACAGTGAAAACAATAGGCATACACAAGGGAGAGGAAACAAATCTCCAAACACCTGTACGTCTGTGGCAAAAACAAAGCTGTAGTTAAGAATGTCTCTCTTCTAATGACCAGCTCCTGTACAGTGTCCCTGCTGTTGCAGCTTGCTGATGGACATCATTTACATTCTATTACTCATTAGGATTTCCCTTCGGAATAATTCACATTAGGGTTACTGAAAGACCCTCCTGTCCATATTCTCCTAGAGCTCTGTGATTAGAGCATATCATGAATCTCTCTATTAATTACTCCCTTTACAATTTAAGCTGGAAATTTTTGAAACTTGAGAGTGTTTTATTCCATAAACCACAATTGTCATTAAGTAGAACAAATAGGAACCAGAAAAATAAGTGTGTTGAGATTTTCTTGAATATGTCTAAGAGTCTGGTTCTTAATATACTTGCCAGTTTCTTTTAACTTTCTGGACCCTAATAACTTGAATTTCATGTATCAGGGAGGATATTGCAGCATGAAGAAATGTTGAATGTGGTAAGGTAATTGAAGAGCTGGTGCCTCTTTTGTGAAAGAATATTGTATTCTTTATGATCACCCTGATTATTAATAAGTGGCCCATGTGGTTATTCTGTAGTATATAAAAAGTCAGAATTCTGTTCCATAATTCCCACTTCTTTAATTGTTGAAGAGAAATGTACTATAAGCTCAAGTTTCGACTCCTCAAGTTTGGGAACTGTTATATATTATTTTTAGTTTGAGTTACAGTTCATATTACCTTACACAATATTCTTTAAGGATATAAGAGATTTGAAGGATGGCTGGAATGTCTTCCTCGAAACTCTGAAACTTTCTCTTTTTCTCTCTCTCTGAAACCAAATCCTTTATCACATTTTCCCAAATTAATTAAAAAGTTAAAAATTAAATCTTACTTTTGTCCCCCACATTAATCCTAAGTAGATCAGTTATTTTGCCCATATTAATGGGAGCATAGCACTGGTGAGATTTAATTTCAAACTTTTGTAATTATAGCTAAAATTAAATTTTACCATGGATGAATTGTCCATGTCCTAGATGAGAGCAGACTAGGAGGATTAGCAATTGGACCTCCAGGATGACTTATGTTATCTTCGATAATTAATTAAAATCAATGTGTAGAGGCCTATATGTGGAAATTTAAGGAGTTTCCAAGCAGGAATTTTTCAAATTCTCTTACAAGTTTGGTGTAAGGCATGCAGGAGTTCAACATGTTTCAGAAAAATGAACAGCACTTTGAGAAAACTCCAGAAGATCTAAAGTACTGCAGTGAACCTAGACTACCTTACTCTGGTTACTGAATTAATCAGGATTAGCAGGAATACTGCAGAAGTTTCATAAAGTTGAGAAACATGAGTTTTGTTTCTCTAATGGCTAAATAGCTGAAAAGCCACAATAGGGACTGAAGAGACTGGATAATTTATCTTTTCTTTAAAAAAAAAAAAGATTTTATTTATTTGTCAGAGAGAGAGAGAGAGAGTGTACGGGCAGGGGGGAGGGGCAGAGGGAGAGGGAGAAGCAGACTCCCTGCTGAGCAAGGAGCCCTTTGCCAGACTCCATCCCCGGACCCTGGGATCATGACCTGAGCCACCCAGGCGTCCCTGGAAATTTATCCTGAAAATTGAGTCTGTATGGAGAATTAGAGGAAAATGGGGGATGAAATCTGTTAACTCTGAAGAATCTCTTTAAGAGGAAGCAAACACAATAACAAAATTTCTGGTTAAATCTTCAAATGTAAATGGAGAAAGGTGTAAATGTAGTGACGATGTAGACACTATACAACAAAATATTATCTAAAAAGCATGGTCCAAAGAAAGTGTTTGAAACATTGGAGGAGAGAGGCCTTATAAATGTCCAAGGTAGTAATCATAGTAATCAGAGCAAACAAGCATTAACAAATTCAGTGACTGAACAACTAAGGGGTTCTCCTGGATGTTTAGCTATTTTATAAATGCCACACCAGAGCAGTGTGTCACTCCATTAAAAAGTCCAGCTGGGCATCTGTTTCCCTGGCCCTGGCAGCCCTAAGTTTCCAAGTGCAAGGTTGTACTTAGAATGGCGGCTTCCCCTTCTTACAGACAGTGCTGATGTGTTCCTGCATGTGTCTCCCTAGCAGTGACAGTAACTGTAATGTGGGCAGATGTATTCTGAAGACTTCCATCCTGACATCTGTCCGGCCTTGCTGTGCACACCCATCCTGACTGCAACTTAAGAAAGAACATTTTCACACTGCTACTGAGGAATTTGCTAGAGTTGTTTTTTTTTTCATAAATTAATTACACTATGAATGGCAAAAAGTGTAAGACTTACACCTTGCCTATAATCTCATAGAAACTGTGTTTGTGTTGAGAGGGAATAGGGTACATCTTTATTTTGCTTATTCTATTCTAACATGCTTTTACTGTAGATTTGGTTGATTTTTTTTTCCTTCAACTCTTCCTTTAATATTTTCTTATAATATCTGGTTCTGGTTATTTGAGTTTTCAGAGCGAGATGAGTCACCCTCTACTACCAGCCAGGGAAGCCTTAGATTTAACTTGAAAAATAGTTAAAATATACACCCACTTCTAAGCCTGGTGATTTGTTACTATGACTGAATTAGGAAGCATGTCCTGTCCTCTTTGCCTGATTTTGTGCTCACGCTGGCCATGCTCTGCTTTTTCTCTCAGCTCTATCTATCATTAGTGACAGGTGTAGCCTCAGTGTCCAAAGAAGTCTTCTTAGGGCACTCCAAGACCCTGCACTTTCCTCCTCTACACTCATAGCATTTCACACCCGGCTTCTTCAACTGAAAACTATCTTGAATTGCTCTGTGGCCTCTGCTGTGGTCTTGAATTAATATCTAATGTTGGTATTTTACTAAGCTTTCCATGTATGTTCATTGCATCTCTACAACTAGACTGTGATATACACAATATGCATTTCTGTATCTTGCCCATTTTTCCCCCATCCTACTCCCAGATGAACTATGACAGTGTCTTGAATGTAACAGTTGCTCAGTACATTCTTGTTAATTCACATTTTAGTTGCCAATTCTGAGTAGAAAAGATCAAATCTAATTCCTCATCTATAATAGCTTAGATGTTTTTAATAATCTGACCGGAGCTAGCAGATATATGGCCAAAGAGAATTGAGGGAATGAAAGTTGAAAAAATATTCTGTTGGGGAGTACTAACTGAGTTGGTGTCTGCTGCAATTTTGTCTAAGTGGAGGATGATCATCTGAGTGATGTCATTCTGGGAAAATAGCTCATTCATTTTGTCCTAGAATGTAGTAATAATATAATAGCTTTCATAACTTTTTTTTAAAATGAGAAGCAACACGTTAAAAGCAAAATACACAATGGAGAGCATATAGCCTTCCATAATTATCATCATCTACAATATGATCTAAATCATCAATGCTACCACTATTAGGCCACTAATAATTGACATTTCATAGTCACAAATTTCCCTTGACAGAACAGCATGTCAGACATCTGTTACCACTGCACTCCATTGCTTCTGCATATTTATATTAACCTCCTTCTTGACCTAATATCTGTCTTCTGCTTCCAGATACAACAGAAGGAGGTCCTCTGAGCTCCAATCTGATAGTTACAGGGCCCACCACCATGGCAGGCAGCAGTCTATGTCCTGAGAACCCATGCCCATCAGCAAGTTGAATCCTGTTTTAGATTTTATGCTGCACAGCTAGATTTTCACTCGAAAGCCATTGAATACATTAGAAAGATTACTTTGCCCCTTCTGACTCCCGCAGAAGCAGTAAACTTGAATGCTATGAAAAGGCTACGAATTGCTGGCCCCTGAGCTTAACAGTTGGAAATAACAAATGACCAGCCTGGCTGTTAGGACAGTGTCCGTCCCTGGCAGTCCACAGGCTCTCACATTCTCTGTCTGCATAGTTTTACTTGGAGCACACATCTTCCCTTTCAGTCGCGGAGAGCGTTGGCTGGCTCCAGGCTTGTCTTTCCCTGCACAAGGCCCTCAGTTACACTCGCCAGTAAAATGAACATCCCCAAATGCTTCTGTCAGGTTTTCCTGTACCTCCAGAGGTTTCTAAGTGCTCTTATCTTGAGATTGATTCCAGTGTGAAGCTTTTGTCAGCAGAAAGGGAATATAACATCTAGATTTTAAAAAGTGACCTATGGGGTTTCCTTTTATTTTAGGTATCTGAATAAAATTCCTCAGTGGGACTATCATTTTTATGGTGTTTCTAATCATATGGCCACTCTGTTATGTTTGCCCAGAAATACATTTAATAACTGATACCTACCTGTTCTCTTTTATCTCTTCTTTTAACCTGTTGACCGTTTCCTGTATGCCAAAAAGAACTCACTACTTCTCAGGTTTTTCCTCACTTCTCAGTTATTCATATTGTGTCATAGCTGTAGACTAAGTTTATGTCTTTACATCTAACAATCTTCCTTCTACACATTTCCCAGGCTGCTTTATCCTTTACAAGAGTCAGATGTAGACATCAGTCCCCAAAGTGCCCCAGATAATGGAAAGCCAGAGGTCGAGAGGAGGGGGTGAAGCCTCCAGACAAAAATGTGTGATGAACAGATTTTCATGGTTTAATGCACTTGTCTAGACTATGTATCCCTAAGACCTACCACAGCTTTGGGACTAGGTTAGGAATAGGATGAGACATAGAAACGCTATAAACCTAAATAGAGACTAAAAATCTTTGGCAACCATAACTATACTCCTTCCACACCAAGAATTACACTCTCTTTAGGGAATAACTGGGAAAAGAAATGGATTCTTCTTTGTGGCAGGAAGGTGAGTGCAAGATGTAGGACATTTTTCTGAGTTAAACAAGGTGGGAATGATGGGGTTGGACTATTATCTAAAGGAGAGAATAAGCCTCCCTCGCTGAGATATCGCAAGGAGTTTTTCTAGTCACAGGAATTTGGGAGTGGGGGTAAAGTGTCCCATAAGAGAAGAATTTGCTAAATTTTATGGGCTTTTTGGAGGAAAAGACAAGTAAGAGTTTAATACTAAAAGAAGTGTTAACTTAAAAGCACGTTGATTAGTACAGTTTATGAAATAAGATATCACATGATATCTCTAGAGAGCCATGATTAATTGGTTTGATTGGACTAGCCATAAATAATTACTACTTTTTCTGATATACTCCTATGTGATAGGAACGAGGGACTGTTAAAAACAACAAACATACATGTGCTATGAAAGCCTCACCACCACTTTAGGAGATGGGTGTTGCCCCACTCTAAAGAGGTGGAAAAGTAAATGTGAGGGTGTTAGGAAATACATTTAAGGCCCCAGAGCCAGTAAGGGGGTAGAGCAACTATGCCTACCCTGTCATCAATATCTTCCATTGAACTAATGTAGTCACATCTCATAGTGGTTTAAAGAAGTGTAAAGACTGCGGGGTTTTTGTTGTTTGGTTGTTTTTTTTGTTCTGTTTTGATTTTACTTTTTAACTGGGGAATAAAAATATTTTACATGATTTTGGGGGGATTAAAATCTTATCATGGAAACAATGTGCTTACTTTGGTGCTGGTATGGAATTGGATCTTTTATTTCCTCCACACAGTCTAGGAATTGTTAAGAGAAAGGAAGATATTTTCCCATGTACTGTGTTATTAGGTGCACTGTCTTTGGAGACCAATATAATTTCTTTATGTTTTCTCCAGAGAAGACAAAATGATGCAGGATTTTCAGTTTGAACCATCCATGCACAACAGAAACAACAGTCGTTTCCATCTGTGTAAACTAGATGACAAACAACTAGAATTATTGGAAGCCAGGTACTTCCCAGGTTTAAATCACTGAAAAAGTAAGATTCTGTCATGTCTCGATAAAGCGTGTCTTTAAAGATAACAAATGCAGTAGCCTCCAAAGAGAATTATGTCAGAAAGAGGAAGCTGGAAAAAGATAGAATCCAATACAAAGTCTGAAATCCTGAACCGTGAATGTATCTTGTGTCAGTGACAAATACGTTAAAAGTCGAAGACGCCTTATTTTACTCGTTTACCCTCTGCGATTGTATATATACATCTCAGTTGTATGGGTTTAGTTGAAGTTTTATCCTTTTATTTTGCCCCAGTATTCTTCTAGATGAACAAACGAATGGAGAATATATATGTTGCCCTACAAAGGGCAACCCTAAAGGGCCTGGGGGGTACACACAGCTTTCTGTGATAGATTTAAATGGCCATGAATTTACGCTGACCTTACAATGTTCCTGTTTATCCTGAAGTGCACATACCATTTTCCCCCTTTGGTGCCTTGATTAATGACTCTTCAGTTCTTTTCTGCAGTTTCTCTTTTCTTAACTTCCCTGTTGATAAGTATGTTTCAATTCGAAAGCAGGGTGTCACCACTGAGTTGAGGGTCACTTCCTGTTGGTCTTAGTTACTTGGAATTGCCAGCCCCCTGGGTTTAGCTTTTACAGTGCTACAAATATTTCATCTTGGTGATGTAGTCCCTGTGACGGGGCCACATTGTCTATTATTTTAGATTGAGTGGCCAGTGTTTCCTTTTTTGTATGACACTTGAGTAACATTGTATGACTGCTGACCCTCAAGAAAATGAGATGTGCCTCCCACAAGACAAGAACTGCGCACCAAAACTTCTAAATAATGTTTAAATAGAAGTCAGTGCACTAACTCTGGACTATAAATCTATGCATGCTTTCTAAGTTCCTAAACTGAATTTTCCTGACATGCCCCCTGTGCCAGTTCCACTTGTTCTGAGTCCTGAAAACTATACAATCTTTAAGTCCTCTGTCCTTGATAAGCATCCGGGGGCATGGACCTAATTTAATCACAGAGTTAACTCTACTCAAAAAACTGAAACTCAAAACAAGACTCTAGCCTGGCCAGATTTAAGTACTTGCTTGCAGCTGTTTTCCTCATGCATAGCAGAAGCACCACATCCCTCAGGTAAAACTTGAGGTTTCCAGGACTTTTCATAATCTGATAAAATGAAAATGAGCTGCAAGGTCTTATCCCTTGTATTATCAAATGCAGCTTTTGAAGTAACTTGAGAATAACAAAGATGGCTTGTCCTTGCCTATGGAATCGGTCTCCCTCTCCCTCCCTCCCTCTCTCCCTCCCTCTCTCTCCCTCTCTCTCTCTTCCTCTCTCTCTCTCTCTCTCCCTCTCTCTCTTCCTCTTTCCCTTCTTCCCTTTCTCCCTCCCTCCCCTTTGTGGAACATGCAGTAAGAAAACAAATCTCAACTGTACAATTTGCAACATTTTTTCCCATGACGCAGTCTATCATTATTTGGATGACTAAAAGCTTTAGTTATTTACTTTTGGGAGTCCCTGAAACCCATGTCATCACAAATACTGAAGAATTTTCTGGGAAAGGTTTGAAACACTTCCAGTTAAACTCTTGACTTAATATCTCAAGAAAAAAAATAATGTTTCTACCACATATTTTATTAAACCCTTTAGGTCCTTTTACAAGAGAGGAAATACCAATTAACGTATAATTTAGCAGAACAAAATATCATCCCATTTCAACCAGTACCCACTTCCTTGAAGTTTATTCAAGCATTAATAACCATTTAATGCAATTTAACTACACTGAGGTATCCATTACATTAATATAATATATCCATCAGGAAATTAGAGTTTTGTTTCCATGAATTTTGTATTACAAGACGGTCTTTATAATTTTATTCTGCATTTTATGATGCTTAATTTCAGCTCTTTAGTCCCTGTTACAGTGTGAGATGATCAAAATGTTCCCAATGCTAAAAGATTACAATTACTTGATTTACTTATCCAGGAATCACAAATCATTTTTATATATACATATACATATTAATATATTTGAGGATTTAAACCACTAGATGTGTCAGGATCATCAAACCTCCTTAGGAATATAACAGTGTGACTAGGTTTTTGAGAACTGATTATGCACAATGATCTGTTCAAAGCATACATACTGGGATGATGTCCATAAAGTAGTATCTTCATGGTCTGGAGACCTAGACAGTGTTTTCAAGGATAAGTTATATTACCTATAACTATAAGTTATATTACCTATGCAACAGATGCATTCTTGAATGCTTTAGTTCAAGAAGTACTAATCATGGAACTTTAGCTATGTTTCAATATGTAAAGAAAAATGAAGTCACATGATAGTGTATATTAGAATATTAGATATTTACGGGACCTGACAAGCTTTCCATTGAACAGACTTTATCTTATAGTAAATGCTCAGAGAGCCAAAACCTTGATTAAAGGAATTTGGCCATTTTGTTTTAGGATCAGAGCAAGGTTCTCAGTGTCCAAGTTAAAGCACTTCCTACAACCTAATGAGCTCTCATCTAGATAGGAAATAAAAAATGTGCAAACGGCAACAGAAGACCCAGGCCCACGCTTTGAAGTATCTTTGCTTCCATGTTAGGAGAATTGAGGGGATATTCCATCAGAATTCTGGAACCCTTTGTGACCTCCCTCCATATCACAACAGCGGGGAGACAAAACACACTGTCAAGGGATTGCCTTATCTCAATGTAAAAAGGATCGTGAATTCTTGGGGATCATATTTGTCTTTTCTTGTCTTCTCTCTTTTTTTTTAAGATTTTATTTAAGGCGTCTGGGTGGCTCAGTTGGTTAAACATCTGCCTTGGGCTCAGGTCATGATCTTGCTTCTCCCTCTCCTGCTCCCCCCTGCTTGTACTCTCTCGCTCTCAAATCATTAAATAAAATCTCATTTAATAAATAAATAAATAAATAAATAAATAAATATTTTATTTATTTATTTGTTTGAGAGAGAGAGATAGCAAGAGAGAGCACAAGCTGGGAGGAGAGGGAGAAGCAGGCTCCCCACTGAGCAGGGAATCCCATGTGGGGCTCGATCCCAGGACCCTGAGATCATGACCCCAGCCGAAGGTAGCCACTTAAACGACTGAGCCACCCAGGCACCCCTCATATTTGTTTTCTCAAGTAAAATCTGACACCTTACCTCACGATTTGTATTCTTTTTGCCTAATTATTATAATCTACTATTTACCTTTTTTTATGATTATATAACATTAGCTTAAAGGGTGTCTGAAAAGAGAAGAGTTTGAAAGCAATAGCATGAACAGAAAAATCAAAGATCAGGAAGTTCTTAAAATCCTACTAAAGGAATTTCAGAGGTCATAATTTGGTTAATTCAAGAAAAAGTTCATTCTACTGAAGAGGCTTACAAATGTGTTTACGTGGAGAAAGTGAATATAAAGCCAGGCAAATAGTCTGTGAATTTCAGCAAAGTAGACCAAACATAGGGACAAATCTGATCTCTTATCTCCTCCTAAGTTGAGCGATTATGTAAGAAATGGTATAATTTCCTAAATTTTCCCATCTACATTTTCTACTTGATTCATGTCAGGAGGTTACTCATAAACACCGTTCTGAATGCTAAATGCTAGAAGGCAAATAAGTATAAAAAAAATAAATGCATTTCCCTGAGCTTTTTAGCTAAGTCCATATGAGTAAGTGTTCTGTGTCCTAAGCTAGCTTTTCCTACTCCATCTTTGTTATCTATATGCCTTGTAATGAAATACAGTAAGATCACAAACATATGTTGTTTGGCTCTATTCATCTTACTGATCTGACAGGATGAGGTCCTTAAGGAATAAGGCCTCGGTGAGAATAGATCAATAACTTCAAATTCAGTGAGTAGGACTTTCTTACCAGATGACAAGTAGGAAGGACAAAAGAGAGTGAAGAAAGGCAGCCAAGTATTTGCTTCAGCAGAGAAATGGATCCTGCAAAGGACTTCTGGTAGAAGGTGAGTTCAGTCTTGTTTTGCCATGCTTTCCCCACTGCTTCACATCTTTCTTTTCTTTTTTTTTTCTTTTTTTGCTATCCCCTTATCTACCTTCAGATAAACAGAATTTCTTTTTTTTTAATTTAAATTCAATTAGCCAACATATAGTACACCGTTAGTTTTTGATGTATGTTCAATGATTCATTAGTTGTGTATAACTCCCAGTGCTCATCACATCACATGCCCTCCTTAATGCCCATCGCCCGGTAAGCTCTTCCCCCCCACCCACCTCCCTTTACACAACCCTCAGTTTGTTTCACAGAGTTATGAGTCTATCATGGTTTGGTTCCCACTCTATTTTCTTCCCATTGGTTTTTCCTCCCTTCCCCTATGATCCTCTATGCTCTTTCTTATATTGCACATATGAGTGAAAAAAATACGATAATTGTCTTTCTCTGATTGACTTATTTCACTTAGCATAATATCTTCCTGTTCCATCCATGTTGATGTAAATGGTAGGTATTCATCCTTTCAGATGGCTGAGTAATATTCCATTGTATATATGAACCACATCTTCTTTATCCATTCATCTATTGAAGAGCATCTCGGCCCCTTCCACAGTTTGGCTATTGTGGACATTGCTGCTATGAACATTGGGGTGCATATGCCCCTTCTTTTCACTACATCTGTATCTTTGGGGTAAATACCCAATAGTGCAATTGTAGGGTAGTTCTATTTTTAACTTCCTGAGGAACCTCCATACTGTTTTCCAGAGAGGCTGCACCAGCTTGCATTCCCACCAACAGTGTAAGAGGGTTCCCCTTTCTCCACATCCTCGCCAACATTTGTTGTTTCCTCTCTTGTTAATTTTAGCCATTCTAACTGGATTAAACAGAATTTCTTCCCTCATTTTTCCTTTTTAGTCTGTGTCTATTAAACCTGTAAACAAGCTTTCATATTCATTTAGTAAACATTCATTAGGCACCTACTGTGTGCCAAGGCTTGCGGTATATGTCTATCTTTTGGCACTTTAACCTCTTATTCATCTCCCCACCTGCCTCCTGGCTTCCCTCCCTTCTGGGGATGTGCTAGAATGCTGATGCTAGATCTGTACTATCCAAACTTCTTGTCCAGGATTCCAGGCACTGAGGTGGTATTCCTGACCCAGAACACCCAACTCCAGATTGATTCCTCCATTTTATCAATTCCCAATGGTACAGAAGAAGTTAATCTTAGTGAAGACTAAAAAAAGAAAATTGTTGGGCGCCTGGGTGGCTCAGTCAGTTAAGCGAATGCCTTCGGCTCAGGTCATGATCCTGGAGTCCCGGGATCGAGTCCCACATCGGGCTCCCTGCTCAGCAGGGAGTCTGCTTCTCCCTCTGGCCCTCCCCCCTCTCATGTGCTCTCTCTCTCTCACTCTCTCTCTCAAATAAATAAAATCTTTAAAAGAATAAAAAAAGAAAATTGTTATGTATTCATTCAAAATAAAGTCTGAATGGCATAAAAACTCCTTACCAAGGATATCACCTTTAAAAATAAAAAAAATATTTGTCTCAAATCATTTATAGTTGAACCTTTAATTGGTTAATTATCACAAAGCTTTCAAAGACTCTCCCATCCACTTACCTGTCAAAAGCTGGCATCCTTTTCTTACTTCTGATTCCACCTCCTCTGCTAACGTTAAGGCCATACCTGACTTACTAAGACGGCCATTTTGACTGGCTACACACAGAATAGACAAATTGATTTTTAACCTGATGATCTCACATTGGAATGATGTGGTCTTAAATTTGACAGGAGGTAATGAAAACAGATATCAAAATTATTTCTCATAGAGAAAACGAAGATCAATGAGGAAAACAAAACATAAAAATGGAAATATTGGTCATATTGATGGAAAAAATAGTCTTGTGAGAGGAAATTGTTGAGAATGTAATAAACAGCCTGTGTGACTGCCTATATGCTAGTAATCCTCATGTTAAAGAAATTAAATATTCTTTTTCAATGCTACATTTTTATTGCATTTCTTAAGACAAGTTTATTGGAACCCACTGATATGTATTTAATATCTCTTATTTCAGTGTCTCAGAATGTTAACAATTCTGAATTCAACATTTGTATTCACCAAGCAAAATGTTAATAATTTTTTTATCCACCAATAGGATGAACAGACAGAAAGATAATAATAGACCAACTCTTGAATCTATATTTGCCCAAATCAGTGGGAAATTGGTTGACTGACCAATAGTCTTATGGATGATGAAATTGTCTGTAACAAATATAAAATGAAGAAATTACCACTGAAATATTTACCTTTTTAAAATAGAAAATGCACGCAATTTCAGTATCAAGAAGCAGCAATACTTAGAGATTTCATATTTAATTTCACTTGGCCTGTTTAGATTTAAAAGTTAATTTCCAATTAAAGTTAATGTTGAGACTCCATGTCTCATGACCTAAAACACAAGTGTTGTAATTGAAATTGTGTTAATTTCAGCTTGTCCAAATTAAACAAAACAAATTATACTGTGAAAAAAAATAACATTGGTACTATATTCCTTTTGCATGAACTTTTATCCTAATAAATACTGACTTCCATAATCATTACCCCAACTCTTAAGTCATTTCTACAATACAACTTTTATTCTCTGAATATTTACAATGCACCCATAACTGTGGAAGGTACTGTCAACAACTTAGTTGAATACATATGAAATACTTATTAGGATCTCCAAAGTCACGGGTCAAAGATGGAGTTCCAAAGAAGTAAAATAGCTTACCTTAGGGGGCTAATGTTTTAAAATGCAGATTCTTAACAAACCAAATCCGGATGTAACTGATTCTACAGTTGTCTACAGTTTGTCTACTGTCCATCAGATCACATAAACTTGGACAATTTATGGCTCTGGAAAGTTAGGTCTTGTCTTTATTCTAATTCTAATATTTTTTTTTTAAATTCAATGTAAATCATGACTGCATAGAAAAACCAGTAACTCTAATGAGATTGTATGAAACTGTAAATGTGTAACATTGTATGTAGAACAAATTTTCTACCACTTGAAACAATTTCAAATATAAGTGTTTGGGATTTATGCTTTCATTAGTTTATGAAAATAGATAAGTGAAAAGAGGTTCATAGTTTTTGTATAAAATTGTTCAGAAAATGAGTCAGTGCTTACTTTCTAATCATGTTTATTATTAATAAAGAATTTAGGTGAGGAAATGTAAAGAAATTGTCACAACTCACAATTGCCAGGCATAGAACACTTTCATAATCCATTTTAACTTGAAAATGATCATTGATAGCAAAAGCAATTGCCCTCATAATTTGATTATAACAAGCATATTAAGTTGAAAAGTAATCTCATAAATGCAGAAATACGGTCTATTCATACTCTTCCTACTCTTTTTCTTAAAATTTTTTTCTCTCTCTATTCTTTCATTGAGTGAGTAGATATTTGTTTTACTCACTTAGGCAACTTCTATTTATTTCCCTTACTACTTAGACTCCTCACTAGTTTTTGTTGTTGTTGTTGTTTTGAGAGAGAGACGGGGAGAGAGCGCTCCAGAGTTGGGGTTGGGGGAAAGGGAGAGAGAGAATCTTAAGCAGGCTCCATGCCCAGCACAGATCCCTATTCAGGGCTTGATCTCACCATCTTGAGATCAGCACCTGAGCCAAAATCAAGAGCTGAATGCTAACCGACTGAGCCACCAGGCGCCACTGACACCTCACCAGCTTTTGAGTGCATTTCACAATTGTGCTCTTAATACATATAATTCATTATTGTTCTTTGCTTTAGTTCTTTTTTTTCTTTAAATTTTTATTGTTATGTTAATCACCATACATTACATCATTAGTTTTTGATGTAGTGTTGCATGATTCATTGTTTGTGCATAACACCCAGTGCTCCATGCAGAATGTGCCCTCTTTAATACCCATCACCAGGCTAACCCATCCCCCCACTCCCCTCCCCTCTAGAACCCTCAGTTTGTTTTTCAGAGTCCATCGTCTCTCATGGCTCGTCTCCCTCTCCAATTTCCCCCCCTTCATTCGTTCCCTCCTGCTATCGTCTTTTTTTTTTTCTTAACATATATTGCATTATTTGTTTCAGAGGTACAGATCTGTGATTCAACAGTCTTGCACAATTCACAGCACTCATAGCACATACCCTCCCCAGTGTCTATCACCCAGCCACCCCATCCCTCCCACCCCACCCCCACTCCAGCAACCCTCAGTTTGTTTCCTGAGATTAAGAATTCCTCATATTGGATGACAAGTGCCTGGGGAACAGAGGCTGTGTCTTATCCATGATAATCCTGTGTAGACCACAATCTCCTTAGCATTGAGCAAAAGACACTCAACCAGTATTTAACTAATAAATCTTAAGATTTCTATTCCTAGTAAAACTTGTGGGAATATGGACTCTCTTGGGTACTTTCAGTGAGAATATAAATTGACACCACCTTTCTGGAGGATCATTTGTCATATATATATATATATATATATATATGGATATGTATATATCCATCCAAGCCTTTCAACCCAGCAATCCCTACCTGGAACACTTTCCTTGGGGTCTGTCTCTGTGCATCATTTTCCCCATAAAACCACCACCTCATTTCCCACTGCATCATTTTTTTTTCCAGTTGGCTAAACCCTGTTATTTGTTAAATCTCAGCTTAAAAGAAACACCCCATGGAAAATTCCTCCTAATATTAAAAATAAATGTTAAGTGTCTTTATTTGGGATTCCCAGAGCTCCCAGTATATCTCATCCCAGCACTTATTTACACAACTGTTGTATTTTTATGCCCAAAGTATCTGCCAAATTGTATTTGCTTGATAAGTGTCTATTAAATTAGTGGGTAAATGAGTGAACTAATGACTAAATTAATTAATTAATGTGTTTGAACCCATGATGTAGAATAATTGTTTGTATTTTATGACATAAAAATTTACCAGCCACCATAACATTTTTTTTTTCCTAGTAGAATGTCCTTATTTTATTAAAGGATTATTAAAACATAAAGCAAAGAGAAACCTTATTTGATGTTCTCTTTCCATAATTTCTGCATCAGAGAATAATCCACATGTTTAGTATAAGCATCATCTCAAAAAGTATGATATGGAACTCTATAAATAGAAAATAGATCTGGGCCCTCCATTAGGGGGAATCATAGAACTGAGAATGAACTCTTTTGTGACCTCTGAATTCCTTATATACATATTTTATTATAGTCCAAACTAGCTTGGATTTATTTCTCAAGAACACTGTACAGTGAAGAGTCTTCTTGGATCATTCCAGCAAAAAAAGAACATTTTCTTTCTTTTTACCCTTTTTACCATAGTTAGAATCCTTTAATAACGAATCCTCTCATAAGTATGGACTAAAGGTAAAGAAGGGAAGAAATCAGCTATGAGAGGAAGTTCATTTTATCCATTTAATTTGCTATTTGCTGTACATATTTAAAAAATCAGTTTAATTATTTCTGCTTTCCCCTAAAAAGAATCTAAGAATCCATGTTGCAATATATTAATCTATCACTATATATAAATATAACTTTGTATGACTTTATTTTTTTAGCACTGTGTTATTTTTTCCTTTATTTATTTATTTATTTATTTATTTATTTAATGTAGTGTTCCATGATTCATTGTTTGCGTATAACACCCAGTGCTCCATTCAATAGTGCCCTCTTTAATACCCATCACCAGACTTTTTATAAAACTTTAAATTGTACTCATCTCATCTCATCTAATCATTAGCCATTAACTTACATGACTTTAGATCTACACAGATTCTTAGTGTTTGTTTGATGTAACCACCTAAATATACAAGTGGGAAAACTGAATTACAGGGAAGATTTTTTGGGGGTCTTTTGCAAGGGGACTGAGCCTAAGTACCTGACACAGATCAATAACACTGGAAACTACCTCTTCGGACCCAGATCCCTCACTTACCTCCCACTTCAACCAATGTGTTACTTTTAAGTGTTGTTAATGACAGTTTAGAATGTAAACTGTAAACGTCAACCCAGTAATTACTTATCCCTGAACTCATTCTCATAAAAATTCACAAGTTGATAACTAATATTTTACAATTTTTATCATATCTATTTGCCAACAATGATACACAGCATTAACCAAACACACACACACACACACGCACGCACGCACAGGCACAATTTTGCTAAACAAGAGTAGTAATAGTTCCTGTCTAAAGGAAAGGAAATTTAAAAAAAATAAAAGTACATCAATTATTTGGCATGCAAACATTTCCTATGATTCTTTTATGCCATCCCCTCCCCAACCCCCACCCCTTGGTGAGATTAATCGTGTGACAAATGACATGAGATGGCCTTATGAAATTTTGTCTGGAACAATTTTTACTGCTAATGGAAATTATAAATAATATGTGCCTTTCGTCAACTGCATTCTTCAGTAATCTAATTGTACCAAGCTAATGAGACCTGGGTTAGGAAATGTTCTGAGGTTCCCATGCCCCAGGTCAGGGAATGCTGCAAACATCTCCGAGCAGATGTGCTCAGTCTCACGAGGATGGCAGCTGGAGCACTTGGTCACTCCACAGAGCGCTGGCCGTGCAGAGGGCTGTGCACTTGACCTACTGCTAGAGGTAAACAGCCTTCCTGTTGGTTAGCTGCAAAACTAAGGGGGGAAGGAGGGCAGAGA